GAATGAAAAAATTGTAATTCAGACAAATAACAGTAATGAAAATAATAACAAAGATGAACCAAATATGTTTGAAGTGAATGATCTTCAAATGAAATATCCTTCAAATATGTTTGAAAATCAAATAATTCTTCATTTGGTTCTTCTTGTGTTTTTGAAGAATTACAGGGTAGAATACAAGAATTAATTGGTTTTGGAGGTATTTCTAATAACTTTTTTAATAGAAAAGAATTAAACTGAATTGGAGTTGGTTCAAAATATTTTAGTCCACCAATTAACGAATGAAAGATAATTGAAATAGTAATTGGTGTTAGTGTTAATTCAATGGGAAAAATATCAGAATTTTGCTTATGGTTAATGAGTGTTCTCAAAAAGATAATTAACCCACCTTTTTGGTGAATATCAAAACATAACTTACTTAATTCTTCAACTATTGAGATTGTTTTATTGTTAATAATTGAGATATTTTCAAGCATTGATTCTTTGAAATGTTCGAAATCAATGAATTTCTGTTGTTCTGTATCTTCTTTTAGACTAACGGTTAATGAAAAAATTTGATTAAGAAGAGACACAATGTCAAAATGTTCATAGACATAATTGGTTTGAATTAAAAAGTGTAAACAATGAATAGAATTCAATGACTTATTATGAAGAAATTTCTGAAGTAATTGATTAATTTGTTTATGATTATTTATACTGTGAAACAAAGCATCAATAAATTTTATATGTTCTTGAAACTTTTCTTTCTTATTAATCCATGAATCTATCCAAAGTTCTATTTCTTCATTTTTATACTTCATGTAACAATTATTATTGTTGTTATTATTAAATTTCATAAATTCTTCTTCAATTTTATCCATATATAATTTTTAGTTCATAGTTCTATTTTAAAAGAAAAATGATGTAAAATTTTAAAGTATTTAATAAGTTATAATATCATTCATTTCAATTATCTCATTTTTAGAAGAGAAGGTTTCTATATCATTTATTCTTGTTTTTTTATCACTTTTATGAGTTTATACTTCTGTTATATTTAACAATTTTTCAATAATTCTTTTATCTTTTTTTGTTTTGTTTCAATTAAATATATCTAATTAATATATGAATGGTTCGTGTGAGACACAAACAATAATTGAATTTCAGATATCCGACATAGTTATCTTGTTTTGTTTTTTCATATTTTTATTTGTAAATTATCCTATCTTTGTTATTTGTTCTAGTTATTTTTATATTCAAATTTCTTTCATTTCGATTCCCATTCTTTGAACTAGTTTATGTTTTAAATATTTGGTGTTGTATTTCTTCATATTTTTTACCACTAAATTATCTTTTTCTTATTTATTATTTTCTTAGTTTATTAGACATATATCACTCTTTGTTATTTTTAATGTAATACCTTTATTTGAAAATGAATACATAAATTCTATTAGAAATATCATTTATATTATACTATTTTTAACTGTTTTAATTACATTTTGATTATATAATAATTTATTAATCTATTTTGTTTGTTTATCTCTTATAAGTTTGATTAATTATAATGGTCTTTTGGTGTTACCTTATATTAATTCGTCTTAGTTGTTTATTTTTTTTTCTCTGTAAAAATAATAGAAAAAGAATTAAATACATACAAATACTGAGTATTTATTTAATTTAACTTAAAGCTGATTTAATGCTAGTTAATATATTCTTCACTTTCCAATATTTATGTCTTAATTATTTAAACATACAACAAGTCATAATAAAAATATAAAAAATGTATCAATTGATAGACCATAATCTGTTAAAAGATATTTCAAATAAAAAGATAATCCTATATTTTTAATGTAAATAATATACAGTGTATTACATAAGTTAATTAAAATACTTATTTTTTACACATTAAAATAAAGTTAGAACCAATTAACTTTAAGACCACAATAAGTTATACCAATAAGATAATTTGAGAAATATTAAAAATAAAATACATAAATTTATTTTTAATAATTTTAAAAAGAATTTTGAATGAACCAATTAATATTAAATAAGTCTGATAATTTTTTTATGGTACATAAAAAAGATTGAAGTTTGACTGAAATAAGTATTCGTTCTTGTTATGAGTGAAACACAACAAGAACTCCTTTCTCAAGAAAAAACTACAATAACACAACCAGAAGAATATAAAATGGTTTTTTGTGTTAGAAATGATTTGAAAATGGGTAAAGGTAAAATTGCAGCACAATGTGGTCATGCTGTTGTTGAGTGTGTTCTTAAATCATTAAAAACTCAGCCAGATGTTTTAAAATGTTGGCACGAACATGACCAAACTAAGGTTGCATTAAGAGTTGATTCATTAGAACAATTGTTTGTATATAATAATAATTATAATAACATAAACTAACACTATAAAGATTAGAATTGGAGAACCAAGCAAATCAAGAAGGTATTGTTAATGGACTGATAACTGATCTTGGCAGAACACAAATTGCACCTAACACAATCACTGTTTTAGGGATTGGTCCAGATACTGTTAGTAAAATTAACAAAATTACTGGTCATTTGAAGTTATTGAATTAACTTCTTTTTTTATTATGTTTTAGTATTTAAAACAAAATAACAAAATTTCATTTTTACTTTAAAACGAAAAAAAGAAAAAAAATATAACTCAAAAAGACATTAAAACTTATGATTGGTATTGCAGTATTGGGTTTCTTTATTGGAATTAGTCCCATATTCATTATTGTATTAATTTTACACACCCAAATTTTTCTTAGGTTTATCAAAAAGTATAATACTCAAAAAGTTAATAAACTAAAATTAGCAAGAACAGTGTTTGATAACCCAAACACACCTCACTCAAATTGTCGAACTAATTTTGTTACACCATCATCATTTGACTGTCTAATATATTTTAATAATCCTTCACTTTTACCAATTAAAGCAATAATAACAACTAATAACAAATCAATTATTTTAAAAATTGAAGAAGAAGAATATCAGATACTTTTTAATGACTTAAGTACATTACTTGTCCCTGGTACTTTTCTTCGTTATCTTCCAAATGATCGTTTAACTTTATGTTCTAATAATTCAATTCTTCCAAACACAAACTCTATTCAAATTTACTTTAATTCAGGTATTACCCTTGAAAATTTCTATCTGTCTTTATTACAACAAATATCTATGTATCACCCTACTAAAGTCATTAAACTTAATTCTGGAATTTTTCCAAATGTTCCTACTGATCTTGAAAAAGCACGTCGTTCTTTACAATTTAAAGAACATTTTACTAATTTGTTAACACGACTAGATAGTCTCAATACAACAGAATCATTACAATGGTTTTATGGAATAAACTATCTTGTTCATCGTATTTTCTTTACTTTCTATGATAACAATTCCTTCCTTTCTTTAATAAAAACAATTATTCAAAATAAAATTGAGAAATCTTCACTTCCCTCATTTGTTGAAGCAGTTAACTGTACTGAATTTCAGATGGGCCCTTCATTACCAGTCTTTAATGATCCATCTATTCGTAGATTAAATTCTCCAAATAAAACATTTCTTGAAGCAGTTATTCATTATTTAAATGGGTTTAAAATGAAATTTGAAATTAGAGTTCATGTACTCTTTGGAACTATCACTTTAAATGCTGAAGTAAAATTAAAGAGTCTTGATTCAATGATTCGTTTAATGTTTCAAGACCTTCCTACAAATATTATTTGGTTTGCCTTTGTAACTGAACCTATTGTAAATCTTGACATTGAAATACCAACTTTTAAAACTCAAAATATGCCTGAAAAAATTAAAGACAAAATTGAAGGATTCTTGATGAACTTTATTCAGAAAGAAATCCTTGGTAGTTTTGTCCTTCCATCAATGAAATCTTTTGAAATCCCTGATGTAACTGGAAAAACAATGTTAACAGCAATTGACAATAAATTAGAAATCTTTAAAAACGAAATGCCAACTGCAGTAGAAGATTATCATCGTCATAAAAAATTCTTCAAAAAAATCAATGAAGACAAAAAAATTCTTCAACCAAAACGTGAGTTTATTAAATGTTGGGATACTTCGAGAGCTTCTCCTTTTACTACAAAACAATTTTAAAATTTTGTGGATATACATAAATTGATTTATTAAATTTGTGTTTCACCATTTTTGTAACTCATTCTTTTATCTTATTTTGTTTCTATTCCTTCTGTTTTCTTTAAAAACCCTTTTACTATCTAATAAAATTATTCTTATTTCCTAATCTCATAAACAAAAAAGAATTAAGTTAATAATTCATTGATACATCTTGCTAATTATTATTGGAAGTGTTTGGATTGCTTTTATATTAATGATAGGGATATTTTTAATAATCAATACCTTTAGAAAAAGGAAAAGTTTTGATCCCAAGGCATTATTAGTAGAACAACCAAACATATTTTTAAATATATCTAATTCGAGTGTTATTAATCCGATTGAAGTTGATAAAAAACTACCATTTACAA